GGGGGCAGTGCAGGCACACAAGGGGGGCTGACACTGTTGGGGATGAGGGCAGATGGTTGCTGCAAATTCAGCTAACTCTGACTCTAGGTCAGGTCCAGAGTTGGAGTTGCAGCAGCCACTTGCCTCTTCCCTCCACACTTCAAACTAAAGAAGATTTGCACACCTCTTCCCACCCAATTAAAAATAACCAAACAAACAGAAAGGAAGAGAGTTGAAAAACCCAAACATGAATGGACAATCCTTGGAAGAAGCATTACACTTTTGTTGAAGAGAGGTCAAGAAAAAAATTAAGATGAAGGGAAGAAAAAACAAACAAAAACAAAACAAAACAAAACAAAACATCAACAGGCCTCTCTCTTATTTGGCAACAAGCAAGTGCAAGAAAGTGTTCATTGGGGTTTTGTTCAGTTGTCGGTCTTCTGCACATCTGCATTTTGGCCAAGACAAGGGACTTTGAGGTTTTTCTGCAGCACGTGAGCATCTGCTGGCTCTATCCTTTTGTAGTAATTTTTCTTCGTCTCAATAATCTCAAAGCCAAACTTTCTGTAGAAGTCGATTGCTGATTCATTGCTGATCTGAACATGCCTGGGACAGAAGAGAGAGAGAGAGGTCAGAATTGTCCAAAATATATTATTTTTGATTATTCAGGACTTTGAGCCAATGAATATCAGTTATGAAGGAAGTGAGAAGGAGAACACTCAGTCTAAACAGAAATATAAACCAGGTTAAGTCCAGGATTGAAAACTAGGAACTTCTAGTTTCTAGCCTAAATTTCCCCATTTGTGAAATACAGATGACATTTTCCACAAAGGAGCTGAACAGCTAAACAGAATAAAGTCTTCCAAGACAATGAAGTGCTAATTTAAAAATTACTTTTTTGAAGTGAAAACTACAGGTATATTGTAAAACAACAATACTAACTTGCTTCATTGTAGACTGTTGAAATGTTTTAACTTCTTACAGTTATACTCATTAGGAACTCCAAGCACTACAGGAATATATGCACTTTGGACTCATTTGATGACAATCCTAACCTAATTTATCTCCCACAATGGGTGTGAAGGTGGTGTGAGAACATCCCACCCATCACAAGAGTTTGGGCAGCACAGATAGACTGTATGGGGCTCTTGCCTCTTCTTGCTTCTTCAGAGTTTGACAAAACTTGATAATATACTAAGAGACTGGAGCTCCCCCAAATAGTCTTTAAGCTTTATATCCTAAATGGCTCAGACACTTAATTGCTCTAACAGGTTTTACATAAAAAGACCTGTTTGAACTCCTACAGGCACAGCAGCATCTGTTAACTGTATATTCCCAGGGCCCAACAGACATGGTGTGAACGTGAATGTCACTTTGACATGCATGTCAAGTGTTAAAGTAAAGGCTGTGGAACCAAAATAGCTGTTGAATTAATAGAACACAGTCCAGCTGTGATCCAGTGATGCCCAATATCTGGGAGAGTATTTCATTCTACTGACCAATTAAGTCATAATTAGAAAACAGATTATTAGACAAAATGGAGCCAGTATCTTTAGATTTAAGTGCCTGTGCCAGCAAACCTATAAGCAAAATCAACCCCAAATGATCACTTTTAAGAAGTGGCTGGTGTGCCTGAGAACTACTGGTCTCACACTACAGAACTGCATTTTGGAGAGGATGATTATGCAACGAAGACTCCTGTAACAACAGTAAACATACATGATAAATTAAGAAATTTTTCAGCATGCTCACTTCTGTAGCTTCTTTATCTGAAGAGATTAAAGGAAAACCTCCACCAATTAACAAGTGTTCAAAAAGGGACCTAGCAGTTCAGCTAGGGGAGAACAAGAACACATTTTAAAGAGCAGTATAATCAAGCACCCAAGTTCTTTTAATCCAGTCATAAAGTAGGGTCAGGCCAGTAAGGTTCTGTGAATCACCCCAGCATAGGGACTCTGCTCCATCTCCTTGCCAGTGAGGGCCTGACCACTCTATCTAGAGATGTTCGTTCATCAAGCACTTCCTACACAAGGGTCAACAGTAGTCCTGGTCGAGGTTTGAAATTCTAGTCATCCCCTTTGAGGCAGAGGACTGAAGGCACATTTTCTAGTGATCTAGTTGTTTAGCATACAAATATAGACTGGGTGCCGTTAAACACCATTACTTCTGGTGGCAGTGCGTTTAACGTAAGAAATACTGCAACTACTATTCTAAAAAGGCAAGAGACTGCTGAGCAGTAAACATCTCTCTTAAGTTCTTGTTACTGAGAAGCATTTAATCATCAAAAAGCAAAATCCAACAAGAAGTTATCTTGCTGTTTGACCGTTAACATATAGCAGGGGTGGTCAAACAAACTGTGGTTCCCAAAAGAAGTCATCTAATGAGAAGTTATCATTCAAGCTAGAGTGCTGTATAATGATCACTGAGCATGAGTCCTGCACATCTCAGAAGTGTGGTGTCTTTCAGCTCTCACCTCTGTAAAATTTTGGTCTGGAATTGGAAGGATTACAAATTTTGGCCAGCTCTGGCATACAGCCACAGCTCTCTAAAATTTAGCACTAGTTTTGGGGAAGCTGCCCAATTCTCAAAAGTACCAAGAAACAAACCTAGAAACCAAGTGCTGGCTGGCTGGCTTGGCACCACTTGTACAAAGGGGGCTTTTGTTTGACCCACAAGGCCAGTGTAATCCAAGGTGAAATGCTGTTGCACTCACTTACTTCACTTTTCTATAAGCCCACAGAGTTTTCCCCGTGCCCACAAGAACATATGCTAACATTTACTCACAGATAGATGTTGTCAAAAGTGCCATCTTTTTCACAGATGTTTAAGACGTGATTCAACATTTTAGTTCCTGCAAGGAAGTAAAGAGATGCTTAATCAAACGAGAAAGGTGCAATTACGTTAGCTATGTTTGCACTGGACTTATTAAATGCTGAGTGCCTTATGTGAAGATATGTAGCTTTCAGTGAGCTCATAGAGCACATGCTGAAGGAATTGCTACTGTACTCTGAAGTAACAAAGCAAGTGGCAACATCACATGCTAAGTGTGGTTATTTTCAAGCAGCTATGTCTTCACATCAAAAGGCCAGGAAAAAGAAGCAAAAAGGCTACTGTACCAAAGCTTGCTTTTTTGCAACCCTTTTTACCAAAAGATTCCAAGCCACCCTACATATTTATGAACAGACCCTCAACAGCTCATGAAGGCAACAACCCCAAGGTAAACAGAGGCAGAGAGTCTAAGACAGGGGTGGACAATTATTTCAGGTGGAAGGCTGCTTACTAAGTTGTGGCAAGCTGTCGAGGGTCACATGGGTAACCCCACCCCTTGACAGGTGCCCCGCCCCTTGGTCACCATCTTGGGACCAATGTCCCAGGGCCAGCACCGGTGGGGCACAAAACAGGGCACAGGCTGGCAGGGGTCTGTGGAGCCAGGCTGGGCTGCACCAGCAGAGAGAGGGGGGAGCTGGCCCAGCTCCACAGAGCCCCTGCCAGCTGGGACACTACCGCTGCCGCTGGCCCTGGGACACAGATGCAGGCCCTGCTCCTGCACCCACTCACTCCCAGGGCCCCCCCAGCCCTGTGGTACAGGTGGGGGGGCAGCATGCAGCCCTGACCCCCTGCTCACTGGCAGGTAACAAGCTGGTAGGGAGCACGGGGAAAAACAGCCCCTCACTGGCCCCATGGCCAGCACTCCCTGCTACAGCAGCTCACAGCCTGCATGGGGGTGTTCTGAGCAGAAACAGGCAGCCCCATGCAGGCTGTGAGCAGCTGCAGCGCAGGGTGAGCGAGGGGCCCTTCCTTCCCCCCCCAGCACTAGTTTGTAACCCGCCCCCTTGCCAGCCTGGGCCCCACGCTGGCTCCGGGCTTGCCTGTCAGCAGCAGCTGTGGCCCCCCTGCTTGCCGTGCTGGGCAGCATTTGCTGCTGCTGCTGCACACCCAGAGCTCGTGCACTGGGCAGCCCAGAGGCAGCACTGGCAGCCTCATCACAGCATGAGCTTTGGGCGGGTAGCAGCAGCAACAGCTACTGCTGTGTGCAGCCCTGATGGGCGAGCCTGGAGCTGGTGTGGGGCCCAGGCGGACAAGGGGCCGAGTTACAAGCTGGTGCTGAGCACAAGGGGGGGTGGGGAGCAGCCCCGCACCTGCTCCATGCTGCAGCCGCTCGCAGTCCGTGTGGGGCTGCCTGTGCCTGCTCAGGACAGCCCTGCACAGGCTGTGAACGGCTACAGCAGGGAGCACTGGGCAGGGGGCAGGCGAGGGGCTGCTTTCCCCCTGTGCTCCTCCCCCCTCTCCCCTTACCTGAGGTTCCAGCACAGTGCAGTGACAGTCCCAGACCGGAAGCCCCTCCTGGGGCTTCCAGCTGGGGGGCAGGCCCTGCTGTTGAAGGAGCCCTCCATGGCTTCTCCTGGGTCCTACTGCCCTTGGTACTTGTCATCTATGACAAGACCCAAGAACAGATCAATTTTAATTTTCTAAATTTTTTTAGGGGCACCTAAATCCAGCCTGCAGACCATATTTTGGCCACCCCTGGTCTAGGAGAAAAGAGACAGACTTAGAAGGGTATCTGTGAGATCATTTCCCCTTCTTTAGGGATGGTTGCACTCTTCATTGTTCTTTATAGGAATATTTTAATGCAATATAACTCAGAAAACTGAATCATGAGATGGAAGAATCACTTGATTAGGGAACCTGTTTTAAAAGCAAGCCTTTTTCTTAGAATGAAGAAAGAACAGAGTTAGAATGATATAACATGCACTGTCTTTATCATTAACACTGCCTAAGAAGCCCATAAATCATTTAAACACAAATCATTTTTGGTTTCACCTTGTCCAAATATTATGTTTAATTAAAATCAGAACTATATTGTATGGGACCTATGCATCTGAGAGACTGATAATATACATATTCAATTAATTCCACCCATCCAACTGCACCCCTCTCAAAATAACTGAGTAATCATGGCAACTCATCTGACGCCTTCTGGGTGAGGCCTGAACCATGGCCTTGCACAGAGGCGTAAGTTTATTAGCAATCTAGACAATAAACAATGTAAGGTAGCAAGATCCCAAAGTACAACTCCATGAGTTTCCTGTGGTAGGTGTGCCACAAATTACCCAAGCACCCTCCTTAAGTGCCCAAGTTACAGACAAAACATTATACCTTGCTGATTAAAAGGAGCAGAAAGCTTTTGGAGGGTATTCAAGAAGACTATGCAGGATTTGAGTTTCTTTGATGACTCAGGAAAATGAAGATGGTCTTACCTATCCCTAGCCTTCGGTAGGGTGCCAGGCATCCAAGTGTCATGATGTACAGTCTCTTCTGGTTTTGAGAGTGATCCACTCTACAGCACACTGCACCCACTGCAATATCATTGAAGTATGCTGCCAGGGAGGGAGACAGCAAGTCTTGGTCAATTAGAAATATCAATCCATATCAGTGTCCTCTCTCATTTCAGTCTTTCTTCCCTTTTCTTTTCCCACTGGCAATTTCCCCTCCTTTTCAGAAGCTCACCTGTATATGAATGGGTACATTCTTACTTAAAATAAAATGAAGCAATGAAAAGGCTGAAGTCACATATTCAATTAATTCCACCCATCCAACTGCACCCCTCTCAAAATAACTAAGTAATCATGGCAACTCAGCTGACACCTTCTGGGTGAGGCCTGAACCATGTCCTTGCACAGAGGCGTAAGTTTATTAGCAATCTAGACAATAAACAATGTAAGGTAGCAAGATCCCAAAGTACAACTTCATGAGTTTCCTGTGGTAATGAAAAAAACACACCTGTTTCAAGTAAAGGGTGACCTTGTTTAAATTACAGCATTCCGGATAGGGGCTCTGGCTTCTGCAGGCCATGCCAAGCTAGGTATAATTTTCCTCACTTATCATAATGAAGCAGAAGAATCTAGTATTAAAATCAACAAGAAGAGCAAACAAACTGTTCTACCACCCAGATGAAAACCACTGACAAAACTATCGTACCTAATTTGGCTAGTTCGCCAACCTCCAGCACATCCTTGTAGAACTTGTCATTGTAGCTGACAGGAAAAATGACCTGGTTTAACCTCTTCAGCTGCTTAATGTTATGTGGCGTCACGTCTCCCAGCTCAATCCGGCTACTGGAACAAACCAAAACATGCTTAATGCCTCTATAAAGACGCAAGCATTTTTACGAATAGCAAAAATCTTAAAATGGTTGTTTTATTTCTACCTAGAGATGAGTCAAACAAGTCAAATAACCAGTTCAAGAGCTATCTGAATCACTGACGTGACTTGCAAGTACATGGCTCCTATTCTGTCTTTGACTGGCAACTGCTTTAATGGCAAGATCCCAACCAGTACCATAAGCCCACAAAATGTCTACCCTAAAGGCTGAGCAAGTGTACCTTGTGACCAAAAGCTTTTTTAAAATCTCCCCCAACTATACAGTTGCCCAATAAAGATGTCATCCAAAAAAAATTCCTTCCCACCCTAAAAGGCAGATAATCCACAATATTATTTGTGCATGGTTGTGAGAGACTTTGGACAAGAGAAATGATAATGTGACAGGAAAACAGCAGTCCTGGCAGCTAAACTGCCCCAGCTGGCAAACCCTTCTCCCACTTAATTTTTACTTTTCATTTGCTAACATTGTTCCAGACTCAAGTCTCTTCTCCCCTTCCTTCCCCACCCTCCAACTCCCATTTGATTTTCCCACCTGTTTACTTCAAAGCAGAAGCTACTCAACCATGAAGGACTAACAAGATAGCCCTGAGTTTGGACCATTCCCAAGAGGAATCAAAACAAATATGCAAAAGTAAGTAATTTATTAATAGACATCTTTTCCTGAAAACCGTGAGAGAGCTTGCCCTTTGCAGCCCGGCAGGCAGGACCCATGGCAAGGTGACCCTTACCCACCCAGCAGCAGTGGGGGTGCAGAGTTGTGTCCCTGTAGTAGGGCACTTAGGTGCCTGCTACTCGTAGAGCAGAGATAACTACCCAGGTGCAGGTTGCTAGGGCAACTGGAGTGAGCTAGGGACCCACATCTGCCAGCAGTCAGCTGACCAGAAGGGGCAGGGCCTGGCTCACCTTTAAATCCCAGGGCTGAGGCCAGGTTGGCAGTTCCCTGCTGGCAGCCAAGGGGGAAGGAGTGCTGCCTGGGAGAGAGGCCAAGGGGGAAGGAGCAAAGGGGAGAGGCCTGACTGCACGAACCGCCCCTGATACTGGTGAGAGATGGAACACCCTTGGGGCGGCTTGAATTTAAGTTATAGCCCAGGGGCTTGTATTTTGTTTGCTGTTTTAACTGGTGGCTTGGGAGAGACTATTAGGGGAAGGAGGAGGCCTCATAGGGGGTCCACGGCAGTGTGGGGACCCAAGCCCCAGAGAAGGCGCAGCACTGGGGGTGTGCCAACCCCAAGCCCCACAGAGCGGGGTGGTGAGAGAAGCCCCAGAGAGGGGGCCGGCGAGAGAAGCCTGAGCGCCAGAAAGGGCACACAGAGAAACAGGGCTGCGGGGAGCCCAAGTGCCAGCGGGACAGTGCGAGACTGAAGAATGTCAGTTACATCAGCAAGGCTTGGGGCGTGGTAAAGGGGTGGTTGGAGCCATGCATAGCCCATAAGGCTAGGGTGCCCGAAACACCCAATACAGAACGGGGCTCACAAGGTTTTTAGGAGTTGGGGCCAGTGTACAGCAAGAGGACTGAAAGGCAGCCTCCCTGTTATACATTTACCATTAAAGATGTGGCAGGCGAGAATTGAGAGTGCCCTTTAGGCAGCTTGGCACAGCAAGGGGGCCTTAGAGGAGATCACGGAGAACCCTAGGACGCCATCCTGTTACAGTCCCCCACTGCTGCAAGGTGGGAAGGGGGTGCCTTACCATGGCAGTGCAGCTGGTGTGGGCCTCCTGGTACCAGCACCTGGCCTCCCTGCGGATGTCTCCACAGGGAGGGCAGCAGGGCGGGGAGCCCCAAGCCCACAGCAAGCAGCTTGCATCTGCCCCTTTCCCATACACAAGTCTAGGGGGGCACATGCCCCGCCATGCCTCCCTCTCAGGAATGCGTGAAACATCAGGGAGCTGCCCCCCCACACCCATGGCTGCACATTCCCACCCAAGGCCCAGCAATGCCCTACTCTAAAGCCCCCATGGTGAAGGAGGAAGGCAGTAATCTCCTCCTTCCTACCTCATTATAAACTTACCTAGAGGGAGCTGCTCCTCAAGCTGCCTGGCTGCCACATGCATGTGTGCACAGGCACATGAACATGGAACCCTCTGTCTCCAATTGCCCTCTTCTCATTTCCCCCCCAGTCCCAAGCAGTCCCTTGCAGGCTGGAACGCTGCTAACCTGCAAGGGGAAACTCCCATTTCCCACATTTTTTCTCCCTGACTTTAACAAATCACAGGAGGCAATCTTTGCTTTACTTTTTTTTCTTAACAGGATGTTACATGGGCCACAGCAGTGTACTGACTGGGCCACAGGTTAAGAACCACTGCTCTAGATCATGGTGCAAGAGATAAGAGGTTTAGTCAGATGCCCAATTAATCCACTTGTGGCTGACTAGCCCAATTTGAGAGTGACACAGCTTATTACAAGATTCACAGATCCATACGTAGTCCAAGTTGGAATCCAAACTTATGGGGTGCACTGCTAGAGATTTTGGGGGCCGATACTGATATGCCTCCTTAAAAATTGGCTATCGGCCGATACCAATCAGATTTCCAATACAGATGCATCCAGCTGGTAAGTCCATTATGCTGGAAGAAGAGGGAGGGGGGAAGGGGTGTTGGCAGGACAGCTGTGTTTTGGGCAGTGGGTGCCCCAGGATCTGGACAGGGTGGGGCAAGGCTGGCTGCAGCTGCAGTCTGGGGCTGCGCCAGGCTCGGGCAGCAGCAGCACCAAGAGGGGGGCTACAGAGAACTTTGGGACGGCCGCAGACCACACCCACCTCCCCCCATAGCCCCTGTCTTAGCACTGCTGCCACCCAGCCCAGTGCCCGCTAGGAAGACCCCAGCGCAGCCCCAGCCCACAGCTGCAGCCCACCCTGCCTAGATCTGGGGGGCATCTCCCCATGCCCATCCAAGGTGTGCAGAGGCAGGAGTGGCCCCCCACCCAACCCCTAGACAAGCTGCGGCTCCTGTGCCTATGCCCCAGCCCCACTCCCTGCCTCACAGCAGGGGCCGTTGATATAATTTTGAAGATATCAAGGTACCACCATAGAGGGCAAGCCTGCTTTCTAGAGCTCTCTCAAATCTCACCATACATAATATTCTTGGGGATATGGTCTTTTTCCTATTCCTCCCCAAATATGGCTGATCTATTGCAACCTTTTCTTATTGATAGTGACTTCTAAGTGCATCAGTCTTGTGTGCTCCAGTACCTCTGTGTATGGTATTTTGCATTCCCACTTCATTTTCAGGATTTTATACAGATATCTCATGTAGAAGCTGTTCAGTATCTTGATATGCCAAGCATATGTAGTCCACATTTCTGAACCATAAAGCAGGGATAACAGCACACGGGTATCATAGATTCAATCATATATATTACACACACATAGCATACAAGGAGGAGAGAAAAATCTGAATATCAAAGACAGGAGGGAGAAAAAGATAGACAAACAAGCTAAGAATCCATAGTCCACATTAAATCACACTTAACACGATTTAGTCTATTACTTGTGCAATTTCCTGGTCAAATGAATTTTTAAAAGTTTGTTCCTAAGAACAGCCATATTCAGACCAGTGATGGAGTATCCAGAGATATTTTCATACAACAGGATAAGGGGAGTGCCACTGTTTTCATGGAAAAACAGTACATATATATTTCTGCTTCAACTTCCTGGGAGCCCAGGTCAAACAATCTATAATAATAAGCTTATTCTGTCTGTCTGGAGCACTCTGATTGGTGATCTTGGCAACCAACCACAATTCTTACTGAAATAACCTGTGTGCTCCGGACAAACAGAATAAGTGTTGTTACAGATCCTGAGGCATTTCAAGCAGATATGCAGGCAAGTCAGAGCTAGTATGAAGCACTGGGGCCCCCACCACAGAGCAAGCAGGCTCTGCTGAAGGAAAAAAAAAAAGTGGTGAGAAGCCAGATGCTTTTTTTGTTCCTAGAGCCTGCCCACTACTCCTGCGGCCCGGGAGGTGGGGGTGGCAAGGTATCAGCGGGCCCCAGTGCTTCCCTCTGCGGTGATAGTGCCCCCCTCAGAGCAAGGTGCCAGTGGGTGGGTACTGCCCAGGGGGTACCACCACTGCAGAAGGATGCATCAGGATCTCCCGCAACTC